TGCCAGCCTGGAAGGAAACAGACCCAAGGAGAACATGCTCAGGGCCCCAAGGGCAGTCCCAGCAAAGCACCAAGGGCAAGGCGGTGGTGGGCAGGCCTCTGAGAGGAAGTGGCAGAGGAGCCTGTTTAAGCTGAGCATGGGCATGGGAAGCGAGTGGTGTCTTGTGCTCATAGAACCGGGCAGAACTGGGCGTCATTATTACTCAGCTAGTAGGCTCCCCCGGGTCCTCCACACCTGCCTCTCCCTCTAACGCACAGGCACAGCCACCATTCTTACAGGCAATCTAAGCCCCTCTGATACACATGTCTGTAGGCCGTATGTCTGCAAGCCTTCTCCAGGGCACACCTGTCTGACAGCACGAGGGGTTGTTTGTTCCCAAAGCTAGACAGCATCCTGGGCCCTCATCTCAGCCTCTCCACTTAGTAACGGCTTGACCTCATACAGTCACGTACTCCCGTTAGGTCTCGGCTTCCTCGTCTGTAACGTAGGCTTATGTTTAGTGCAGAGACCAGTGAGAGTCAAGTGAAATCTCTAAATGTGTGAAAGGACTTTTTAAACCAGCAATTCTTCGCCCTGAATATATATGGGATCCCTGGGACCGTTAAAATCTACAGATGGCTGGGAACCAGCAGTTAGCGTAATGACTATGTTGCTGGACTCCCACGTAGTCGACCGCGGTTCATGGTCGACCGCGGTTCATGTCCCAGACCCGGTGGCTTAAAACTCACGCCGGGGGCGTGTGCGTGCGTGCCCAAGATCCCGAGAGGAGAATGGAGGAGAAGGGATTGCGGCGTGACCATCCCCCCTGGGGGGTGATTTCTCGCTTTCTGTCTCTATGTCTCTGTCTGTCTGGTGAGCGCACGCGCCCTATAGCGAAAATCTCTCCAAAAAAAAAAAAAAATCTACAGATGGCTCGTCCCACCCCAGAGAGACCAATTTTAATGTTTATATAGCAACCCAGTGGATAAAATAATACAAATACTTCACTCCCTGCTCCTCCCCATTACGTACAACTAAAAGAACCTGGAAATAATACAGTAATCACAGAAGACTTCTGAAGGTGGAAAGAGGAGTCCACACTGGCCTCCCATACAGTGGTAGAAGGCGACTGAGGCAGCTGTTTACCCCCAACTATAACAGCAGGTACTGAGCAGAAGGCCAGCAGGCATCCTGCAGCCCAAAGTGAGCCCATAGAAATGGTCTCCATCCATGCCCAGTGTCTCCCAGCGCCACCAACTGACACAAGACAACTCAAGGAAGCACAGTTTGCCCCTACAAATGGTGCCAGGAGGGATTGAATGTGAGCACCAACACCATATAAACCCAGCAGACCAGAATAAAAGAAAGTGTTCTTAAAATGTAACTGTCATTGGAACCATGACCTGTAAAAGGCAAGACCCCACATGCTAAAAGGCAATGGGGTGACAGCCTGCTAAAATAGAAAATAAGTAAGATAGTGACCAGCAGTTAGCATAATGGCTATGTTGCTGGACTCCCATGTAGCCGACCGCAGTTCGAGTCCCAGACCCGGTGGCTTAAACTCAAACCAGGCATGTGTGTGTACGTGCCCAAGATCCTGAGAGGAGAATGGAGGAGAAGGGATTGTGGCGTGGCCATCTCCCACTGGAAGGTGATTTCTCGCTTTCTGTCTCTCTGTCTCTCTCTGTCTTTCGGGCAAGCGCACGCACCCTATAGCAAAAACCTCTCCAAAAAAAAAAAAGAACATAAGTAAGATCCAGTCTCCTAACATAATATCCCCAAACTGCAGGAAGTAATAGAAAAGTTACAAGAAGAACTGTGAAGAGGTCTATTTGAATGAGAATATGTATTTAACAGATACTAATATTGAAAATAATCAGATGTTGCAATGACCTGTAAGGATTTTAAGGCATTCATCACAAAAATACTTTAACAAGTATATTTTCAAAACAACTTAAAAAGAAAAATGTTTCATCAAAGAAATATATGTTATTAAGAAGAATCAAAGCAAATTATAGAACTGATAAATAAAGTAACCAAATTTAAAATTCACTGTATGCGTCCAACAACAATACTGAATATGACTGAGAAGAGAACTTGAAGATAGAGCAACAGGAAATGTTCAGTCTAAACAACAGAAAGAAAATAGGCCCCGGAATGAACAGAACCGCAGAGACTTGTGAGGCAACGTTTGTTTCGTTGGATTCCCAGAAGGAGAGGAGAAAGAGAATGGGATTGAAAGGATTCAAAGAAATAATGGCTGAAAACTTACCAAATATGGCCAAAAACCAAAAACTTACAAGTTTAGAATTTCAAAAAGGATAAATCTCCCCCCAAAAATCTATACCTGACACACCGTAATTAAATTTATAAAAATTAAAGACAAAGGGAAAAATCTTGAAAGAGAAAAAACATAACAGGTAGGGGAAATACCTATTTAAATGCTAGTAGATTTTTCATCAGGAGCCATGGAGACCAGGAGGAAATATCCCAATGTTTTTCCTGTGCTGGAAGAAAAGAACTGTGAATTCTATATTCAGTGGAAATATGCTTCACGAATGCGTGGGAAATAAACGCATTCTCAGACCAAAGATAGCTAGGAGAATTTGTCATCCGCAAGCCTGTTGTTGAAGAGTGACTGGAATGTGTCCTTTGAACGGAAAGCTTAGAACCTCAGAAAGGAAAGACTATCAGAACAGCCAATAATGGGGATAAATATAATAGACTGTCATAGACTGTCCTGCTCTTCTTGAGTTTCTTAAAATTATTTCTGATGATTGAAGCAAAATATATAGCACCATCTGATAGGGTGCTCAAAGTAGATCAAAGAAATACCTAAGCAGCTGTCGTTAAGAGTCGGGAAGGACCAAGCAACCTCAGGAATCAGGTTTCTACGCGTACTGCTGTTGTACACTGTATGGTTTTTAAGTTTACTTGTATTGGGTCGCTGGAAAAGTCATGATGCACTTTTGCATAGAAAAACATTTTTAAAAGTACATCGTGAGTTTTCTGACAACCTAGAAGATGTTATGTCTAGGGTTTTGATCAGATTGGTTAAGTGGGTGAATGTTGAGACAAGCAGATGACAGCCCTGCGCTGGCCATTTTACAAGCTGCCCAGGTGACCTCAGTGTGAATCTAGGTGGTGACCCATTGGCTTAAGAGAGATGCAAGGACATAGTTGAGGATATTCACTGTTCTTAAGGGCATAGGGCAGTAGTTTCCAGACATTAATGTGCCTCTGAATGGCCTAGGAGGCTTGTCCACAGTCACTGGACCCTAACTCTGTAATTCTGACGCAGTAAGTCTATGGGGGGCCTAAGGATTGCCATGTCTGACAAGTTCCCTGTGCTGCTCGTTGGGGATCCCACTTTGAAAACCACTGCGCTAGAATCCTTGGGTGATAAGGAGTTCCTGTGTTGTACCTGGAGGGTCCCTCAGGATCCCGGTGTGTGTCTGCAATGTATATAAATGAGGTAGGAGGTGTTTCCTGGAGGGACCCCTTGGACTATAAAGCAAGAGGCCACATCTGGCATCTCAGGCCTGTCCCACCTGGCTGGATGGCCTCAGGAAGGTCTCTGCATGTCTCCGGACCTTAATTCTCCTTTTCTGAAATAAGAATTGGTTAAGTCATTTACCTGGAGAAGCCTCAGAGAGGCCAGGAGGAGCAAGGAACTACCTAGCACATCTGGGCCCAAGTCCCTCTCCCCATTTCTGTCTTCCCAGCTCCACTTTCCCATGTTTTGCATATTGGGGTTCACATAAGATATGTGACAAGACAATTTCTCTGCAAGAGATTTGAGAATCCTGACCTCGATGTTATGAAAGGCCCTTTCTGTCCCACATTTAGAACCGTCCCATGAGCCACCAATGGCAAAGAAGTCTCCACAGCAGGTCCCCAGCTGAGACATCTCCTACAGGCTTCTGTGTCCACCTGTGGCCTTTATGGGGTTTCTTCTCTGTCTTCACTGAGTCCACGAGGACCCCTAAAATGAGAGGCATCTGGAAACATCCCTTGCTCAGATGCAAGGCCTCTCTGGAACGGGCAGCCAGGCGTTTGTGTGCACAGCCCCACCTTGCCTTCAGAGGCGTGGTCCTTGAGTCTGTGTATTCCATGTGGCCATGACAGCAAGGAAGGATGTGACCACCATCCTCTCTGAGGCTTCAGGAGGTAGCAGGTGGCGCCCAGAAGCAGGTACAGATGTCTGGCCCTGTGCACGACTGGCCTGGGTAGCTGGGTGCTGGGACCAGTGTTGGGAGCTGAGACCCCCTGATGAAGCAGCGGTGGGCCCTGCTCTTTATAGGTCCCAGGCAAGTGGAAAGAAAATCAGTCCAGGGTCCCAGGGCAGGTTTCCTAAGGGTGTATCCTCTAGTGTGGGTGTCTGCCCCTCCGGAGGGCCAGGCTCAGTCACTCGCCCTTTCTCCCAGAATGTACCACATAGCTTCTCTACGCTAGGCAGGCGTCTGCTGCTGAGCCCCCTCTGCTGCCCCCAAGCACAGCGCTGAAGAATGAGCTGGGAGGCTGCCCCTCCCAGGCCTGAGTGGTGAGGTAGGCCCTGTGCAGCCAGGAAGGCCGGCCACACCAGACAGCATCAGCAAACTTTCCCTCCTGCGGGGCTTGAGGGCCCAGTGTCTCAATTTTCAATTTCAAGAGAAGCTAGAAATTAGAATTCTAATGTGAAAGCTCTCCCTTTCTGGCTCTGCCCCCAGCTCTCCTGGTCTGCAGCGAGGGCCTCAGCCCAGGCGACAGATGCAGCCAAGGCTGGAGCCTGTCCACGCACAGGTGCCCGCTGGGCTGGGCTTGGCAGTCCGTGATGCTTCTGGCATGGCAGGCCAGCTGCGGATATAAGTGTAAACTGGCTTCTTCCTCACTCACATCTGAAGCAGGGCATGATCCTTGGGGGCCTCCCACGTGTCACCTACCCAGCCCCATCCACCTCGGTGGAAGCCCTCTGGGGCCACGCCCTTCCTCTCCGCGCCTGACCACCCGCGCGTGACAAAGCTGTGCTGTGTCTATTTCAGGATTCCCCTATTCCAAATCTGACTCCCTCCCAGGACGTGGAAAGAATGGCTTGGACCACCGGGTAGGTACTCACCCCTCCCTGCCCGCGGTGTACTAACCAACCTGCAAGTCTCCCAGCTTCTTGACCACACAGCTAGGAGGAGGAGCTCTGGGCCCGCTCGACTGCCTGCCTCTGCCTGATGTTCCACCAGGGGCTGCCTCTGCCAGCACCACTTTTTCCAAGCCAGGACTGGACCAGACCTGGGCAGCGAGGTCCCAGGGCGACCACAGTGTGTGGAGACGGAGGCAGTGGGAGGGTCACTCTGGTCCGGCTACAGGAAGCTCCTGCCCACCCTCTTCTTACTCCCTGTGATGCAGAGCCTGTGAGAACGGAACAGATTACGTACTGTATCTCACGCGCCAGTGGGAGCCCAGTGTCCGCTTCCTTGCTGGATACCATTGCCCTCCACTGTCTTACTGCCACCACTGCTACTGCCAGATGGTTTGGTGCCTGATTCAGCCCAGGTGCTGGGACGTTGGTCTCTTCGGAAGAGTCACTCATTTTGCTTCCTCAGTGTTACCAGGTCCCCAGTGAGGATCCCTAAGGTTCAGTGGGCCTAGGACACCAGAACTGCCTAACACACACAGCCCCAGGAGGCCTGCCGTGGCCTGAGGCAGCCCCTTCCCAGTCTGAACAAATTCGTTAATAAGCCATGGTGGCCCACGGTTCAAGAGCGGCCACTAAAAATATGTCGTGCTATATTGTAACCCAAGGACAGCTTCCTTCTGGCACTTTTGGTCCCTTGGGTCAAGGCCACATGTAAGGGCAGAGACACCATCTCCAGGAGCTGTGGGGCCCCTCAGGGCCTGCCTTTGTTTCTTCCATCTTCCTCAGGCTCTGTGTTTTTGTCTGAGCCTCCCTCCTGGGATCTCCCCTGGGCCCAGACGCCTCTGCATGCTTTGGCTCTAGTGAATCATAACCCTTACCCCACTAACTACTCTTCCTATTCCAGACAGGGCCAAGGGGCACTCGCATGTGGCATGTCTCTTTGAGTTTTCTTTTAAAGGATTTCTCCATCCTTCACCTTTCGCATGGAAAGTTGTGGGGATTAGAAAGCTGGACCCATGTCCATAGGACTCCTACAACACCAGGAATGTCTATCCCCAAGCTCAGTGCTAGGGGGCCTGAGGGCAGTGGGAAAGCTGTCTAGAATGTTCTCTTCTCACCTGGAGTGGCTGCTCTCTAACCCAGGGCCAGGGTACAGTGTCTACAGCCTGAAGCTAGCCAAAGCATTTTTCCACCCAAGTCAAGTGCTGAGGGTTTTTCCTAATATACAGAGAAAAATGAAGTGAATAGCGTTCTCAGCGTTCCTCGCCATGTGTCAGTGACACCTGGACTGTACATCCTCTCATAGCTGGCAGCCCGGGTGGCAGGGGTCCGCAACTCAGCATCTGTGGAGAAGGTTGCCCGAAAGAGTTTGAGACAGTCAGTCCTGGCCTTCTGGCAGGGATAGTCTTCATGCCCTTCCCTAGGACAGAAGCAAGAGCTACCCCTTCCATGAACGTGCTTCTCCTGCCGCCCCACAGGGTGGGAAGGAGAGAGCCGTGACAGCTCAGCTGCCCTCTGAACACGTGCCGCGCCGAGAGCGGGTCAAGGCCTTCATTACCGCGTAGGTGTCAGCTCCTCACGCTGTTACAGGAGAACGGGTCAACACCATTCACACCTTTCCTTTGGGGTTCTTCTTTCTCTAATGGGAGTCTTCCTTCTCTTCTTCTTCTTCTTTTTTTTTTCAGTCTTTTTAAGATTATTATGTCCTTGTGTGCCCATTTACCAGCAGGGAGGCCAGAGACTCGATCTTTCAAATGACCAGCTTTTAACAGTTCAGCCATGCCCAGCACCCAAACTCTTCCCTTCATGCTGGAGGTTTCCACTGAGCGTTTGTCCCTGCACCATTGCTGAGGGCCTGTGGCGCCCCAGAGCCAGCTGCTAAGCTGTTCCTTGGATTGTTTTGACCTCCAGAATTCTGAAGTAAATGCACTGATGCTTTGAGACCAAAACCCATGAACGCCACCTCCAAAGGAGGAGACTACAGGAGGGAATCGTATCGGAAACAAGCCAGAGAGCATTTGTGATCGGCTCCCAAGGCTTAGCTCTGGGTGTGCTGAGAACCAAGGCAGAGAAGCAGCCAGGAGCAGACACAGCCTTCTCCATGCTTAATGAAAGGAAATCAGCTCGTCAGGATGGGCAGAGGTTTCCCTGGGTCTTACTCCCACAGAGACTTGTTACAAGGACCCAGTGACCCAAGAATCATGTACCCCAAAGGTTGTTAAGATAACCAAGCCTGCCTCAGTGCCTGCCACTTGGTAGGTGCTTACCTACCCGGGAGTGACCAGGGTAACGGCCATCCAGTGCAGGTTGCCCTGGGGGTGACCTGACGTACCACCTGGCCCCTTAGGAAGATGATCGCTGGCCACCAGTAGATCCTGTGGTAGATCACTGGAAGTTCTCTTTTGGAAAAGCCTGATAGTAAATATGAACAGACTGGATTCCCCTATTGAAAGACAGATTTGTCAGGTTGGGTTTTAAAAGCATGTATGTGTCATTATAAGATATACACTTAAAATTATTTTTAAAGGAGAAGTACAAGGTTGAGAAAGTTAATAAATCACAAACGGAAGGCAGAGGTGGCAATATTAATATCAGATAAGGTGGGACCAGCAGACGGCATAATGTCTATGTCGCTGGACTCCCATGTAGTCGACCATGGTTCGAGTCCTGGACCCAGTGGCTTAAACTCACGCTGGGTGCATGTGCGTGCATGCCCAAGATCCTGAGAGGAGAATGGAGGAGAAGGGATTGTGGTGTGGCCATCCCCTCAGGGGGTGATTTCTCGCTTTCTGACTCTCTGTCTCTGTCTTTCTGGTGAGTGTACACGTCCTATAGCAAAAACCTCTCCAAAAAAATATATCAGATAAGATAAAAGTTAAGGTTAAAAGGAATGAATAGACTTAATAGTAGAAAGAAGAGACATTAACTTATGATAAAGGCACGATTTAACGAAGCAATTATAGCATTCGTAAATTTACATGCTTCAAGAAGCATGATAATGCCAGATAATGTGACTGAAATACAAGTCTGGTAGGTGACTGAATGTTACTCTTGAAATAAGAAGTGAACAAACAAAATTTGAAAGTGTGTAGGGGCCAGCAGGTGGTGGTATAGTGGCTAAACGCTGGACTCTCACATGGCCAAACGAGATTCCAGTCCCAGACCCAGTGGCTTGAAAATCATGCCAGGCACATGAGCATGCGTGCCCAAAACCCTGAGAGGAGAATGGAAGAGAAGGGACTGTGGTGTGGCCATCACCCCCAAAGGGTGATTTCTCACTCACTTTCCCTCTTCCTCTCTCTCTCTCTTTCTCTCTGGTGAGCACACATGCCATATAGCAAAAACCTAAAAAAAATAATAATAATAATTAAAAGTACATAGGATAACTGAATAGAGCAAAGAGCAAACAATCTAACAGGTAGATGAAAAAAAAACTGTTTGAGTCCGATTTTACACATTCACAAACCATTTACAAAAATGTTTATCTATTTGACAACCACGAAAACCTTAACAAATTAAAGAAGTCTAATAGTCCCAAGCTGTAATACTCAGAAAAACCCATGTGTTCACATCAGACAGCTCTGAGTTCAAATCATACCTCTGTCTTTGGGAGAGTTGCTTAAATTTTCTGAGTCTCTATTTCCTGGTCAAAAAAAGAAAAAAAGAAAAGAAAAGAAAAGGAAAAAAAAGAAAAGAAAGAAAAGAAAAGAAAAAAAAGAAAAGAAAAGAACTTACCTCTTGAGGTTATTCTGAGGACAAATAACATATGGTTATGAATCTTTTTGTAAGTTTCATTGCGTGGTTCCCATATGAATAATTCTTCAAAAATCAAGTCCCTTCCCCCTCTTACTTCCACATCGATGGCTGCTGAGTAAGACAGCTCGTTCTGTGAGTATTAGCAAGAGAAGAATGGCAGCCAGTGGCAACTGGTCACACTCTTCCTCTTATTAGCACTCCCAGTAGAATACTTAGAAAGAGCGGACACGTGGGTTTAGTGTTCACAGGCCCGTGCATTTGTTGTCTGACCTTGGGCGAGCTGCTTAACTCCTCGGCGCCTGTCTGTAAAATACTGACGATAATGCCATCTCTTGGAGTTGCAGGAAGATTATAGAATGTATCTGTGGAGCAGCGGGCACGTAGGTGCCAGACAGATGGAAGAGGGAGATGATTTGCAGCTTTTAAAAACCTCTGGTGCCTTCATTGAGAATTGCAGGGGAGCGCCCAGGAGGTGCCTCCGTGGGGCTTTGCCACCACACATGCATGGCTTTCCTCCAGCCCACACATGAAGCAGGGACTCAGGACCCCCTTGCACCTGAGAAGTCTTGCAGGCCCCGTCCCCACTTTGCACTTCAAAGACCAGGAGCAGGTGACTCAGCTTTCCCTTGGGATCCATTCAGTACTCTTTCTCCTCCGAGTTGCTTCTTGTCTGAGATCCTCAAAGACCAAGGAAGCTGGTTTTGCTGCCGGGAAGCGGGTTTCCACTGTCCAAGGAGAAGGTAGTGGCCTTTCAGTGGCTTGTAATGCAGAACACTGGACACTAGGGGGAAGCATCTGCCCTTTGAATCAGACAAGCCAGGCAGGCAAAGTCACTTTCATCCGCGGCAGGTTTGCCTTTCAAGGAGAGGCTCCCTGAGCAGGACAGGTGGAGCTGGAGGTGCTGGTCCAGGGCTGAGAAAATGTTCTTCCTAAGGGGAAGACTTGTGAAAGGCCGTGTTGAGTCCTCGAGTGAGGGTAGAGACAGGTCTGGGGCCTAGACCAGAGTGAGGCAAGTGAGGCACTAGTCAAAAGACACTGTCATCAAGATAAATCACATTTTAGCACAGTACTTTTAGAAATATATAAATGCAGGACCAGCAGTTAGCATAATGGCTATGTCACTGGACTCCCATGAAGTCGACTGCGGTTTGAGTTCCAAACCCAGTGGCTTAAACTCACGCCAGGCGTGTGTGCGTGCGTGCTCGAGATCCCGAGAGGAGAATGGAGGAGAAGGGATTGCGGCGTGGCTGGCCCCCCCGGGGGGTGATTTCTTGCTTTCTGTCTCTCTGTCTCT